GATTTGCAAGATTTAAATCCATCGACCTCTAACCTTTACCCAAACATCCCTAGTCCGAGGCCTAGCCCAAGGCCAACATCGTCCCAACATGCTTCGAACCATCCATCACCCACCACACCCACCGCCCCATTCCCATTGTTTGGGAGCCCTAATACCACCATCTCATCCACCGCCGCCGTGTCTCCTCCCCCCTTCAAAGGATCCTTCCACCGGCGAGCCCTCTCTGAGGTCACTTTCAGAATTCACGAAGATGTGGTTGACCCATTCATTGATTTTCCCCCTATGAGCAATGAGGATATTGGGTTCGAGGAGGATTATTTTTCGACCTACATTGATGTCAAAAAGCTTAGTGAAGGTGGGTCAGTTGATGGAGGTGGTGAGGGAGAAGAGAACGACAGTGGTGGTGGAAATGGAAATGGCAACAACGGTGGCAGTGGTGGTGGCGGGGAGGCAGAGAAGGATGAGGAGGAAAAGAATGCGAGACAGCCTCGTCGTCGGCATAGGGTTTCGATGGATTGTGAGATGGGGGAGTCTAAGAAGGCTATGCCTCCAGATAGGTTGGCTGAGCTTTGGGTTATTGATCCTAAGCGCGCTAAGAGGTATTGCTTCATTGATTGATAAAATTATCGTTCACATGACGGTAACCTTCAAAGTTGTCATATCGATTATTGTATAGTTAATCAAATTCTGTGTTTGTTAATGTATGATACATTGTTCTGAATCATTTGTCAGACGTGGAGACAAAGAATTACTCCGTACTCGCATTTGCATTTCTGTAATACTCATTGTCGCATGTCGAATGAATTTTGAGGTTTATGTCGTATGTTGGCTGTTAAATTCAGGATTGTGGCAAATCGTCAGTCCGCGGCACGCTCTAAAGAGAGGAGGGCTCGCTACATTCTAAGACTTGAGCAAAAAGTTCAGTCCCTTCAAAGAGAAGCGATCTCTCTTGCTACACAACTAACATTATATCAGGTTTGTCTTGAGGGAACTTTATTGACATTATCAAAACCTCACGCTAACATGGTACCCTGTGCCAAACATAGGAAATCCGCATATAACCATTTTCCTGAATGCTTAAACCTAGCTAAGGTTTTTTCCCTCACTCATAATGCTTTTTACCACCATTACTGGTTGTCAAATCTGATCATTCGAGATAAAGGAACCTTTTATTATGTTATATCATTAGGGTATGATCCATAAACCTGCTAGTTCTTTTTATGAGGCACAAACGGGAGAATTTATTTGGGAAGCAGAAGAACTGCTGAAACATATCTATAGACATCTTATTGTATCGGTTTGAGACAGTCAATTGCTCCGCTTCCCAATTCTTTTCAATGATGTACTGTTGAGTTTTTGTTGGACTGTACACAAGAATGTCTTTCTTTACCATTTTAACCTGCTACTTTTGGTCGTGTCTCGACTTCTATCAGTTCCCTCCATGTGGACCATATCACTACTCATTTCTGCACATCTCTCTGTCTTTCATTGTATTTGGGCAAACCATGCTAGCCATTTATTTCTGTGTCTTAATATCCAAACAGTGTTATTTCCACTTTATTCCAGACGCATCTATTGCTAACATCCAGTTAGGCATTATTTGCAACCTAGTAATATTTTCCTCTAGTGTCACTCCACTTGAAAATTATTTTGATTTGGTGTGTCAAAAAGTTCGCTTTCATGGTAAATCAAAAATTTGATGACCTCTCCTTTTTTGCATTTCTTTGTCTTTTCCCACTATGTTGTTCTAACTAGATGTTCTTAGGCTGCTTCTGCGAGTTTATGATAAATTACATCTATATGTTGATTTGTAATCCTTTCTTTCATAATTTGCCTACATTCACAAGTGGGTGCTACATACTGCACATTCTGGTACTTGATAAAATATTGATGTATGGTCTCATCTGCTTTGTTTTGTCATTTAGAGGGACACAACAAGTCTGACTGCTGAAAACACAGAGCTCAAGCTTCGACTACAGTCCATGGAACATCAAGCTCAGTTGCGCTATGGTAGGTTCCATGTAAATTGCTACTATTGTTACTGCTTAGCAGAAAAATGTTTCCTCTTCTCATGCATCTATCCAAAATATCTATGCTTGTAAAGTAGTTATTGAGTCTTTTATTCCAATTAGTCAAGTGGGTGCAACTGGATTTTAAATTTTAATCATGATTGGAACCTGTTAGTGAAAACTGCTACAGTTATTTAGATGGAAAAATACATTGGGACATTCATGTTTTCCATCTAGTCATATTAGCTTGAACGACTGACATTTGTTCATTGAAAATGCAGTTTGGTAAGATCCTCGCATGCTTGAGATTTGCATGCTATCATAGATATGAAAACCTTCTACTTCTCATACATCTGTTTAATTGTGACTCAAAACTCCATCCATATATTGGAATTAGAGCCTGGTAGCAAGGCCACTTCTCCAACAATGTAGATAGCTTGATTCCATTAAGTTCATAATATCATATTTTCTGGCATGGTAAATTATAGTGCCTGGGATTGATATATAGCCTAATAATTGATCCTTGGAGTGCAATTGCTTTTAAGTTCTAAGGTCTTTTGACCAATCAGAACTACCTTGATACACATGCACAAAATCAATCATCTTCAGATTGAGTCTTTTTCTGTGTCCTATGTTTAGTGCCAGGATATGTGGATTTTTAATTCCTAACAACACACATGCCTTGGTGATTTCTCATAGCTTTGAATGAGCAATTGAAGGAAGAAGTTGGAAGGCTCAAATTTGCCACTGGGGAAAAAATGACCCATTCAGAGTCACTGAATGCTGAATTACGCCACATTCTCTACAGCCCATCAAGCTCACAATCAGCCTATCTTCAACTTCCTCCGTCACCAGTATCTACTAGCCATCAGAACAGGTTGTTGCCACCATCCCAAGGCCCACAACCGAGCATGTCACCCTGCCATTTGCATCCTGGAAGTCCCCGGACTCATTCTAAACTTTTGCACAACCATTTTGGTCGCTTTCAAGGGCTTGATATCTATAACAGAGGATATATTGAAAAGGCTCAATGTCTAGCAATCTCTCCATCAACTGTATGTGCATCTACCAGTGAAAGTAGTAGCACCACGTATTAACACCAACTAGCCGATGACTTTCTGGCCTTTTGATGAAAATCCTAAGGTGCCATCATGATCGGATAAGATACTAATAATTCGAATGGTTCTTTGTCCCATTTACATTTTTTCTTGATGTATATACTGCATTATTTAATTCTTTGGGTTTCTATAAAAGTGGTGTTTCCTCGTGGTACAGTAATGTTTTCAAATCTCTCCTGTACATTTTGGAATTTATTTAAGTCGAGGTACATGTGTGCAATAAAGCGCGGGAATAATAAGTTGCTGATGGAAAGATGTTCATCTTCGAATATTGTTTGTTTACTTTATAATTTCTGATCCATACACAATGCCAAAGTGTCCCTTTTTTCTCTCTTTGCTATCGACAGTTACCGTAATTATAGCGTTTCTTTGTCTCTAACATAAGTGTTCGAGAGAAGTGTTTTAATCTGTTTACCACCCTCCAACCCATTTAATAATCGATATATAAAATCTATAAGAAAATTGGCCTACATTTTTTTAAAATGTTGGATGGTAGAATTTGGTTCATGTTTTGATTTATGAATTTTATTTTGTGAATATGTGATGGAATAGGAATTTGTTGCACTATTATTTTTTTTCTCCAAATTATGCTTACTATTCAATCAAGCTATTGGTATTGAAAATGGTGGAATAAGTGTAAAGTGTAAATGTGAAAAGACCATAGAATAATTTATTTATAATTCATGCAACCTGTTTAATAAACGAGTTGTGTTAGGATTTGATATTTTGACTTATTTAAATAAACAAAACTTGCACCAATGGATTTTTTTTTTATTCAGACCTATTAAGACCTGTCACGAATTCAATTCACCCAACGTGATTGCCAAATTTAATCCTCTTGTGGTATAGGCAAGTCACAACTTAGTTATTACATTACATAACAATATTTTTATTCATTTATATTAGTCTTTGGTATGAGATAACATTATAGAATCGTTTAAATGTCGTATTAAAAAAAAAGGGACTATACTAGAGGATTTAGGATAATCTTGGATAGATGGATAAAATTTAAGATTAAATAGGGGATAAAGATAATATCAATTCTAGTCAAGTGCTTGTTAAGTACGATATTAAGAGTTGAATAATAAGTATTAAGTCCAAAATAATATTTGGTTATGTAATTTATTCAATGGTATTAAATGAGTGGACTAAAATGCCCTCAATCATCCCCAAATTGATCTCTTATAGTGATCAAATATTTCGTAAGACTATAAAGCTATGTAAATATATATGAATATTTTTAAATAATATTAAAATTAAACAAACATGCTTTAATTATGTAATTGCATATTTTGAATATATGCATTTGTTTATTATTAATGTCGTTATTTACCATTATCCATGTGAATGACGAATGATGTGAAATTTTTACATGTTGTCCATATGAGGGGGATGTCTGATCATTGTAAAAAAGTTAAAAACAATTTTTATTAAAATAAATGAGAAGGAATGATCATATGAATTTATCTTATATTTAGGGTAATATTGTAAAATAACGATATAATACACTTAGGGTGTATTATAATATCATCTCTCTTGGTGATATTAAAATAACTTAATAGTATAGATATATCATATTAGAATTATCTGTATGAAATATTTATTTAGCTAATTTTCATATGTAATACGAAGTGGTTTCTTATATCCAAATGCAATATAAATCCGTATTAAAGAGTTTTAATTTAATATGACTCTTTAATACACTTTATAATACATCGATCAAACCACCCCTATATGTCACTTGGTATATTCATAAGAGATGGAGAACAAGCACTCATCCAATTTACTACTAATTTTAAAACTTCTCATTATTTATCATCTTTTAATTTTTGCAAATTCCATAATACCTTCAATTTTTTTTTAAAAATCGCATATGTATACGTTCATTCTTTATGTTTGAAACATAATAAATGGAGATAGAAAAAGATAAGATGAAAATATAAATTTCGTGTATTACCCAAGACAGTTGACAGCCGCTAGTATTATTATTACTTACTTCCTTGAAAGGAATTCCATGGTTTAGCTGGAAAAATGTTTCTTCAAGAATTTAGTTGAATAAATATATTAATTAAATTTGCATACATAATAGGTGGGTTACAACTTATAATGTTTTAGATAGTGATGTCATAAAAAAACTATGAAAATTAAAAGTCACGTGGGTATCGCGTGAATTATAATGTCAGCACGTGGCGTACAGTCATTGGCCTTCTATACCAGGTGCACCGACTCACAGGGCCAATACAGCGTCCGATCTTTGGTCTTTATAAAAGAGAGAGAATGAACAGTACACCCTGCCCTAATGAGAATTACTCTGAGAAGACCTGAGAAAGACTAAGATAGAGACCATAAAGATTTCGTCTTTCTTTCTCTCTAAAGAATGGCGCTCGGCGGTTGCACTCTTTCGTCGGACAATATAGTGATAAAGTCGCCGACCGACTGTCGATTGTACAGGTATATACAACTTCGGAATGGCCTCTGTGCTTTGCTCGTCCACGATCCTGAGATTTACTCTGATGGACCCCTTGAGCCCTCAAAAATTGCTGAAAAAGGCGAGGAAGAAGAAGACGAAGAAGAAGAGTATGAAGATGAAGAAGACGAAGATAGTGAAGAAGACGACGATCAGGAAGAGGAAGATGATCAAGATGAGGGGAATGAATCAAAAGAAAAGATAAAGACTCGTGCTTCTGAGAAGAAGGTAAGTGTAGTGTTTTTATAAAAGAAAAATAAGCGGTAAATAATTCTTTTTGAGTAGTAGTACATAAGCCTATATGATGCCATGTAATTGTACATTGATCCGGGATGTAGGATTCTGAAATTAATTGAGAGTTGTAATTGGAATTTGAATTCGGATAAGTTTTTGTTGTTGTATCGATCTGTGTTGGGATGATGCTTTTGATCTTTTGGATTTATGTGGGTTATGATTTAGTGATTGGAATTAGGATACAATCAGAGTGCTTTTGTGTTCTTTTGGTTTTGACAGGCCGCAGCTGCAATGTGTGTTGGAATGGGAAGCTTTTCTGACCCTTTTGAGGCACAGGGTCTCGCACATTTCCTAGGTTTGCTCCTTCGCTGCATCCGTATACAACCATAAATTTGATGCATATTTAATGTATTCAAGCACAAGCATGTATAAACTTGTTTATATTAAACCAGATGACACCATTTAGACAGATGATTGTTTTTCAAGTTGGATTTATTAGAAGGCTATTGGAGTTCTGACAAAAATGATTTTGGAACAATCTGAGACATGAAAGATACGAAGTAGAGCTAAAAAATTTTTTTATCCAACCCAATGATAAAGATTGTGAAGCTTACAAACTTGTGGCTATATTTTGAGTGGACTAATAGTTGAATGGGTGCATAAATTCTGAAATGAAGTAGTTTTTGTAAAGAGCAATGCTATTGGGACCTAATTTGCAGACCTAATTCACTATGACC